GCAGCCCAACTAATTCAACACTCCTTTCAAGTTGGACTAGGAATTTCACCCAATGTGGCGCTTACCGTCTATCTGTGTGGGTGTGGAGATTTCCACTGTAAAATTACTGCCCTTGTGCCAATAGGCCCAGAAGATGTCCTATGCAGCAATGTACAACAGGAGGCAGGTACCTTAATTGTTCAATCCGATGGATCTTGCCATGCTGACAAAGGAGTAGGAGGAGCGGGGGCAGTGGTACAAGAGTTGCAAACTCATGGCCTAACTCTCCTACAATGGAGAGCTTTAGCCTTGCCTAAGTGCCCGGACAATATTTTTGCGGAGGCAATGTCTGCAAACCTAGGGGTTGACCTACTTTGTGAAGAATTAGTGCAGAGGAAATTTGCCGTCCGGCAAGTATATTTGTAAGGGGACATTCTCCCAATTATAAAGCACCTGGCGTTTGCAGGGCGTTTTCGGAGGATAGACTTGCAACCGATCGTACAACAAATAAGACGGAAACAAGCCAATTTCTTTGATTTTGGCACATGGATGTATCGTCCTCGAGAAGCAAATATAATTGCAGACTATCTGGCGGGGATAGCCAGTCGTGCTGCTTCTGAGCTTCCGAACGGACAATCCCAACCTGTTGAAATACCTGCCCCAGCTCCGTATCACATGGCAATGCAAGTAGGAGCCATTGTGCTAGATGAACGACCATGCGGAGACGATACTATTATTAACAGAACTCCCAAGTAGTGGTTTGCTGGAAGTACGACAGTTTCTTATGAAAACGGGCCATGAGCGATACAAGCGCGAGATAGAGGCCTATTTAGCCAGCACCGCGAACCTTACCCAACCGCGTCTAGTTGAGTATATGCCAACATCTATTGACAATTTAGGTCGACTATATGGAAGAGGCCCATGTGCACAACGACTCCCGCGCACAGTCCGACTCCTCCTATTTGGTCGGACCCATCAAGAAGTCGACATGGCTGGTTCCTTCTATGAGATCATGCGGCGCCTCAGCCTAGACCCCCACCTCCCACGTGTCGCTGACCTTCGCGCAAGTATGAACGACTTATTAGGGCTAGCCCCCCAGGACCAACGTCAGCTTGCCATTAAGAGACACCCGCTGATTGTGATGAATGCTGGAGCATCTCTAGCCTGTGCCAAGATTGAAAGAGACCTTGGATTCTCCTGCCCGATACCGTTGGTGCATCTCAGTACCAAAATAGAAAGCGCTACTCGCCTCGTTGTTGCTACCCACTTGCCCAGACAAAGACCGCTGAATCACAATGGGGACAAAGGAGCTACTTTTATAACACCCATTGGGGGCAGTACTAGTTTCCATTATTCCAGGGAGGTAGCCATGGCGCAAATCCTTCCCATCAGGAATCTCATAAGCAACTCGGGCAGGAAGTATTAGCTCATCGCTTATGGTATCTGGAATCTTCCATACAAGTTTGGGACGGTTATCATCAGAGTAGTTCATGGTGACCAAGTACAAAACAGTAGGGTACTTTTGATATTTGATGGCCTCCGTGAGTTGTCTGATTTCTCTTACAGCAGCTATATGTTTATTGCACGCAGCTATTTGTTTATTGCACGTGTCGAAAATCTTAGCAGCAATTTCAACGGGTCCTGTATTAGCATGACACTCAAAAACGAAAATGGCTGTTCTTTGCTCTGTATAGAGTGCACGCATAACACTCTGAGCAGCCCCAAATGACGGGAATGCATACACGGTAGTTTCGTTTTTGGCAATCTGAGTATGCAACTGATCGTATGTAGTGAGCAGGATGCCTTCCGGTGCATTGATCCTGCTAGATGTACTTTGACATCGCGCTACCCTACCAAGCAACAAGAAAGGTAAAACAAAACAACCAAACACCCGTAAAATTAAAATTACTCCCCCACCACCTCCCTTTCAATACTGACCCAGGCATGCTTACTACATCATGAGCAACGTGGACAATGGTCAACCATGGGTACCCCATGGTGACCGGACTTTAGGACCACGGTCATAGAAGTATGCCAACCGTGGGTACCCCGCGTTAGCCCTAGTAGCTTACTGAAACTGTACGGATTGACCGGTGTAGGGTTCATCACGGCTACCGGAGCTACTGCCTGCGGCAGTTGTAGGGGGTGGGTCACTGCTTTCGGCTGGTTTCATCATCTGGGCAATAAGTGGATGGCTTTGTTTTTCGCGCAGGATCCTGGTCATTTCGCCGGTGAAGGCTGCAGGGTTATCAACGAGTGCTTTGGCTTCCGCGAGTGGCCTGTCGAGGACAATGGCAATGAGCATTTCTCCACCATCTTTATGGATTTGGTTGGTCGGCCGGCTTGCACGTCTGCGAGGATTGCCACTGCCTTGTTTTCACACAGAGTGCGTTCCCATTCCTCCAGGGCTCTTTGCGCTAGGGTGTCAGTTTGCGGCGGGGCCTTGAGAGCAGCTGTTGTCCCTAATGCTCTTAGGAAGGGGCTATCAGGTGGCGTGGGAGATGAGAAATTCTGAATGGCTGCTACTGCACGCAAGACGTCATTGGTTTGGATTTCATATGACGTGGTCGTTTTCTTGCTTATGGTAGGCTCGGAATCCTCCCATAGTTGTTCACTGACTGCCCCTATTAAGAACTACACTCACTCGCTCTCTGACCAGTGATTAGACCACGTGTGGATACCGTGAAGCCTTTTAGCTCTGCCGCTCACCTGCAAGCACTTATGCTCAAGCCAATCATAACGATACAAAGTCGAGCAACCTTATGGCTACAGTGCCCCGAGCCAAAGAGCGCACAGCCCGGTCTCCTGAGACGGAAGCCATGGCATCGGGAACACAGAAGAAAAGGAAGCATCATAGCCATTGTGGTAAAGTTACTCGAATCAGCCAAATCAAGTGTGCACTTGAAGAAATCATTACCAACACTGACCCAAAGGAGTCAGAGGCATCTGAAATTCTTGAACACCTGATGACGGCCCGTGAGGCTCTCGAAATGGCCAGCAGTCTCCTGCCTAGCAATGAGAAAATGCATAAGATCTTGACAGAACCACCCAGGCCGAAGCACGACCTGACCATGGTTGGGCGGTCTTTTCTGTTCCACCAATGGCAAGCCCGTCGAGTTGATCCAACCTGCCCGACTTGCGAGAAGATCTCAAGTTGCCAAGCGCCAGTCCGCGAGCAGGGATAAGGACTTAGCGGTAAGTCAAAGCACTCTCGAGGTGGCTTCGTATGCATGAACTCAAGGTTTGTGATCGGCAGGAAGAAAAAGGACCGTTTTTTCCACAGTGCTCATATTTTCTGGTGCAGGTGGTCAGACTGTTCCAGGGGGCACGAGTCATTAACCAGCATGTTTCTCTACCATGTGCCATCCCTTTCCATTTCCACAATAAGGTAAACCAGTGCAATTTAACTTTGAGTGTCGTGGCTCAAGGGAAACAGGTTGGTTCAGTCTGTACGGTAATGGTTGAGCGAATGACATTCATGAGGACTTTCAGTGTAGCTTCCTTTTTACTATTCTCAACGGTCAGACTGCACCTAAACTGTATTCTCGGTTTTTTCTGTTTAAGTTTCAACCTTGCTTTATGTCCTTGCATAAAGTGATCCACGGGGATGGTACTATTAATCAACCCAGTCAGTTTGAAGTTGAGCAGCAAGCAAGTAATAAAGGTGTGCTCTTTTTGGTTACTTTCCACCGTGATGAGCAGCTCCGAGCTGGTTATGGACGATGAACGGCTCATCCACATCAAGGAGGTCACCCAGCACCATGCTGTGTGCAGTGCTCTGCTAGAGAACTTGCAGAGTGCTCATTACAGCTTGCTCAAAGCCAAGCAGCAAGTTAGACAACTTCCCTGGATGACCAGGGCCATACGACAGAAGCTTGACGAGAGCATCAAAGAACAAGTAGACCTCCTACATATGACCACAGACTACAAAGTGCACTTAACAAAAAGAGAGCTGCTTATCCCTATTACCTACCCGCAAGAAATTGACCTAGCTACTGATGAAGATGAAGAACTACGAGACATTCGAGCAAATGTTTTCCCTCCTTCAGATTGACCTGTGAACCTATACACAAAGGCCATATGTGGGGACGATGCCCGGGTGTGAATCAACATTGACATCAGGCAAGGCAACGATTTCTAGACGCAGCTGCCCGCATGCTTAGCTACAGCACTGACGATGTATGTCTCCAATTGCCAGTGCCGGCAAGCTGGCTCAAGGTTTTTTAATATGTGGGCCTAATTTTCGCCCCCCATTTTATGAGTTAAGCTGATCGGTGCGTCGTGAGCACGTTAAAACGACGCGTGCCAAGTGTGGTTAGGTTTCTAGGCATCGAACTTGTGACAGGGTGAATTCCCTTGCGTGTATCTATCCTTGGTCAACCTGTATAGGGACCATACAGGTATGCAAGTCAGTCAATGAAATCAGTCCACAGGACAGCACCGTCTTGCCAAGATGAGGTTAGTGACGAGCACTGAATCATGTTACATCTTCGTTTGTGACCCTTTCTACATCTTATGCACCGGCATCTTGTTTAGGCTCAAATGTGGACGAGATGTTTTCTTTCAGCTGTGTTGCAATGCACTATCCCCTATTAGAGGTACCTCACAGCCATCTTATCCTACTGGTCTCATCCCCGTTTTGCGAGCAATGGTGCCCCAAAATATTCATTGGAACTGTTTGCAGTTGCCTATTGGGTGAATCTTATTTGGGGTAGGGTACTCGTGCCGCTGTGAATGGATTGCTCACCAAATGACTTTGGTTATGTCTCTTCCCTACACCATTATGTTGACCACTGACTGCTACTGTTTACTTGATGTCTATAAGACTGGTAAGTTGCCTGCACATGGTGTCTTTCCGACCGTAGACGTGTCGGGGTTTCACCTGTCAGGTACCTATTATCATTCCCTTATTCAATTTCGCACTCTATCCTGAGGTGGCTGACTCCCCCGTTGTTTCTTGCTGTCCCTGGCACCCTCCTCCCTCTGCAGAATAACAACTTGCCAGCGTCAGAACTGAAGCCATGGAAGAGGCCAAGCTAATCAGAATGGCAGCAGCCATCAGTGATTACACTATAAGCAGTATGCTGCGGGAAACTGTTCATGGTGCAGCTGAATCGATTAATCAAGCTGCCCTATCAGTGCAAACCATCCCGTGTATCCCTGCACATCTATTGAACGATCTTGCTAGAGCACAGCAGGCTTTAGCAGAGGTGGAACAGAGTGCAGCCAATTATCAGAAAGAACGAGCTGCTGACGTAGAAGAGGCACAGAAAGCTCTCATGCAGGACTGGCACCCTCACGAGAAAGATGAGCTCGCTTCGAACTTTAATTCAGAGGCATAAACACTACGGTGAAGACTTGATGGCAGTGGGTACCACAGTTGTATCAAGACGAATGCGCATAAAATATGTGTGCAGCAGCTTCCTCAGTGATGTAGTTGCAAAAGACCAGTGAAACGGTACAAACGTGAGGGCCAAGACACACATGCATTGACCCTAACAATGAACAAGGTCATGTGCTTTAATGAAAGCTTCTGTTGTACTGCAGTAAGCTTGTTTGTCTGCAGAAGTTATCGCATATGGGTTCTCATTTGTTCGCAGTCTTTTGTATCTACATCGGTTGATTGCTGGCGCCATCCTTTGCGGCTCACAGCAGAGTTCTGAAAGCATGATCTCCTTTGACCTTCCCGGTGAAATCATATCTCTCATAAGCTTCTCCCATTCTCTGTGTGGTTTCCTCGCTGCAATTAGATTACTTTGTGGTAATGTCTGTGCTGATTATGGTAGTCGCTAACCCAACTTCCATGTAACTACCTGAACACGGTGCCTCTCTGACCGTAGACGTGTCGGGTTGCACCTGTCAGGTTATGAATGATTGCCTCGAAGTCACGCCCATGCCCGTTATTAGCAATGAAAGCTCTTATTCACTTTCCGGTACCTCCCCTCTATTTAGTTTAGCCTGAGGGAATATCACACAGTGTCTAAGCTTGGGTCACATAAAGGATTTGGGCTAGCCATGGCATCGCCGCTACATACTTTCCTGGAGAACTACCACTGGAAGGGATACACAGTAGACCCCATTGTCAACAATTCCAATACGATGATGTGCTTGCATCGTGGAAATTTCCCCATGCACCGCTACTGCAAAAACATGAAGATTGGGTGTGTGCCTTTCAATCTTCTGGAAGCATGGTTATGGATTCACATGGAAAAATGGAATATCCTATGGGCGGATGACGAAACGTGGCTCCCACCAGACGCGAATGTTCTCACACGGGAGCGCTTACCCCACGGTTTCCACAAGGTCATCACCCATGACACGGACGAGGACTACCTACAGGAGTGGGTGGAAGTAGCAGGCCGGGGTTTCTACCCCTTTGCAGCAGAGATTCGTCACTACGGATATGCCTGTTGGGCGAATTCACGCCGGTTTGCCATCGTAGCACGAAGTGCCCAACAATGTGCCATTATCGCAGAAGTTATGCACGCTTATGATCTGTTGGGAAACCGCATAGAAATATACGCCCCCCAGGCAGAGGGAATTGCTCTCGCGGACCGTGCCAGAATCAATAGTGCGATCCATGAAGATGATCGGTCCTGTTTTGACTTTCGGACATCCCAAACCTGCCGTGATGCAATCGCTGGAATTTTCCCCAACAGTGCTGGTGCAGAGGAAAGACTTTTCGACTTAAGTGAAGGGATTGTGCTTCTACAGAAACAACACAACGACCTAGTACAGGAAGCAAACCAGGCAATTTATCGCGTACAGCAGAGCTGGTTCATGCTCAGTGAAGCCTATGCGGCTCTCGTCAATGGCTATTCTGCAGCATCACAGTCACTTGTACTGCCCCAAGCCTCATTTTGTGACACAAGACCGCTCTCTAGAGAAGGAAAGGCGACGAGAAAAGGGGCGACCATGATATCTAGGCAATTGCCGTATGGTATCGAAAGCTTGCCAGGGTCTGACCGGTGCACATGACATTCCTAACACTAGTTCTGCAGCGCTGGCTTATGAAGGTAGTCACTAGTCTAGTGGTGTGTTCCCATGAGTCATACTTGACCCCAACATTAGCTAGGGTGAGAATCCTTTATTTGATGTACTGACCTTTATCCTTCTACTATGTAAGGGCTCTTTTCCTAATAGGGGGTACCCGCCATTGACTTACTCAGTTGTCGGGTAGATGATTGCACTTCTTCTGTTCGCAATTTAATCTGGGATGCTCTCCTCCTCCAGAAAGCCTCATGATAACTCCCACATTCCGCGAACACTTAGCAGGCACACATTGGTTCATTTCATTCAGAAGAATCAGACCCATGGCATTTGCGCGCTTCAGACAAGGTAATCATCAAGTACCACCATCGGCTAGAATGATAGTATATGGCCTTGAAGCTGCACAAAATCTGACCACTACCCTACGAGACCTTCGCCGTACTGTCAAGCTTCTGCAGAGCGGACTTGCCATACTCTTCCCAGATGAAACTTCTGGGTTACAGTTATTATATAGCACGCTTGACAGAGACTTAATGCAAGTGGAACGCACATGTCATTTTATCACTCTCCAACTTCTGACTGCATTGGCAGAGACACATGAAGATATAATACAACTGGCGGCATTCAGTAGCCCAGCTGACACAGGAGTCTGGATCAATCGGCTGTTCTCAGTCCCTGCTGGTCCAGGTTCCTTAAGTGAACCTGCCGGCTGGGAGTGTGACGTAACCATGTCCTTTCATGATTCCAGGTCGAAGAGGTCAACGGGTACCCACTTTTACCCTCACTCAACGACCTTGGGACCCTCGCGGGTCCACGCTCCCTCTTGCTGGCTAGGTATCGGGGACCCCATCCCCCTACCCACCAGTGCAGTGGGTGGGTCCTATACAAGGATCTGAATACGCACAAATGGTTGAAGCTCTCTAACCACCTCCCTGAGCTGGGTGTCTTGGGACACCGGTCGCACAATGGTGTCAATGCCGTCAGCAGCCTCGGTCCAAGTTCTGTATTTCAGGGTCTGCCCGCTCTCAGAAGCACGAACATTAGATCCACTAGGGACGAAAGGGAGGCCTCCAGCGCCGGTGTATCAATGAAGCCACCCAGACTGGCTGTGATCTGGACTGTTCTGACCACGACTCGAAAAGAGTCATCAAGGGGAACCGGGTATCTTCCTGATCCGTCAGGTACACTTCTTTGGTAGGTTGTTGACTAGGTGGTGGTCGTCGTTCGATTGTGGTCCCACGTCCTCCTTGGTGACTCGGAGGAAATGAATGGGTAACGGGGCCTAGCCCGCCACGATCGAATGTGACCACTGCTTCAACTTCCGATCCATTGTTTGTGTCCTGGCTAACGGTCAAAGTTCGTGTGTGGGTTGCTGTGCTCCGCACGGATCAGACCGTCGGTTCCTCCGTGAGGAATGCCAGGGTAGTTACGGTGTCTGGAGTAACCTGGACCTCCTTCGTGTGTTCTCATGCTTTCGGGTATGTGTCACATGGAGGGGTGGGATCGCTATCGACTGGGTCACCCAGCGGTCGAGGTTCTGGCAGAAGCACCTCGACTTAATATACAGTCAGGCACAGTGAGATCCTACACCAAGGATCGAGCTGTGCTGCGTTGGGACTACACTCTTAAAAGGGGGAGGTTATAAGGTGGACAAGAAACCAACCCACCGAAATACCTCATGTGGGAACCTTCGCAGGCCACATCGGACAAAGACATCAACGGTCTGGTGTTGCTTGCTTCTGCGGGTTGCCGCCTTTTTGGCGAGCAAATACACTGGGAGACCGTGTACGTCCTTTGTGGTGGAAAGGGTACCGCCCCAGGGTGCGCCCTACAAGGGAGGCCCCCACCGCGTCTCCAAAAAGTCTGCCGATTTCAGGTGCCGAAAACGAACCCTCTGGACATATGAGATGCTGCTCCTATACTGTCGAGGTAGGTCCCTTTCAGGCCGCCAGGTTTTGACCACTTTTTTGGGCCCTGTTTGAGGGGCCATGATGAAGCAGGTTAAAGCGAGGCTTACGGGGATCCGAATCTATATAATACTATTGTTGGGGTCCCTTAGCAATGATTGCTGGTATGGCAATGGGACACTGCGGCGTCTTCTGGACGGTATACGCTCTTGGGCGCTTGTGGCGCAGCTAGGGGTACCAGATTGTTGAGCCCAGCAGAAGTCATGAACAAGGTCTTCCTGAGGCGATGCTTTTGAGAAAGGTAACATTCAACAAGGAAGCTTTCTTAATTAGCCACTTTTCGAAACGTGGAGGAAACCTCAGAAACCCAGGGAAACCTTTGGGAAACCCGTGGGAAACCCCTCAGAAACACTACTCTTTCTTAGATTCTGGTTCAAAAACGCTGGCAACTGTGCAGGAAACCCACGGAACCCCTGGGAAACCCAACACTTTGTAGAGGAAACCTTCGGAAACCCCTTTGGAACAATGCACATTCACCCCCCCTCAGAAACTTTGCTCTTTCTTTGGATTGGGCTTCAAAAACGCTTGCAACTGTGGAGGAAACCACGGAAACCCCTGGGAAACCCCTGGGAAACCCCTGGGAAAACCCTGGGAAACCCAACACTTTGTAGAGGAAACCCTAAGAAACCCCCATAGAACAATGCACATTCACCCTTTGGCAATTTACAAGAATAAAGAAGGGGGTGTGGGGAGGAAACCTGGATGAGATAGCAGCAATTGGATAAATTGGATGAGATGCAAAAAGTATTATAGAACCGTTTTCGGTCTTCCCGCCCACTCATAGTATTCTGATGGCACTGTGTTCCACGTTGCCACCCGTGCCAGCTCCGGCGTCCAAGAGGTGGTCGTTTGGAAGGGTCTATTTTTGGGCCCTCAAAGACAAGAAAAATTGGAGACGCAAATTCGGGCCTCCCCAGTTCAAGAGTCCTGCCGCGGATGCTGTTTGTGTAAGTAGCTTCACGCTTGACATTCTGCGCACATAGCAGCCTGCAAAATTTCAGCACATCGGACAAAATGAAGGGACCAAAAACGGGCCCGCCAGGAGGGACCACTTTCGATCCTAAGAGGGTCCACTTTTGGGTCCCTTCTGAAATATATTTGCTTTGCGCAAGGGTCCAAAACTGGGCCCTCAGCAATCTGAATCCAGTGCCTCCCTGGGGGCCTGTTTCACGTCCCATTTAAATTCTCTGTTAAAGCGTGTTGTTGTAATCCAGCTACAAACATCAGCGTCACACATCATAGCAACTAGGTTAGCAACAAGGGCGTCGAACAAGGGAGGCCCCCACCGCGTCTCCAAAAAGTCTGCCGATTTCAGGTGCCGAAAACGAACCCTCTGGACATATGAGATGCTGCTCCTATACTGTCGAGGTAGGTCCCTTTCAGGC